ATAATATAAGGGAGCACGAACTTCTTTATGGTGTAGCCTGGCGTACAAACTATTGAAACCCAGCCCTTGCTGTATGAAATCTTAAAGGCAAACTAGAGTGTATTTTGACCAGACTACACACTAGAAGGTGAAGGGAAGACGACATTTCGGTCCGTCCTGGACCATTCTCAAGTAGATTGTCATTTCGACTTGAGAATGGTCCAGGACGGACCGAAACGTCGTTGTCCCTTCACCTTCTAGTGTGTGGTCTGGTCAAATTACTTTAGCCACGTTATTGTGACTCATCGCCTGCAAACTAGAGTGTACTCTAATAATACTTGTACTGTAGTAACCAATGATCAAACGTACCTGGGCAGACACTTCTCACTCCTGGGGGTCAAACAAGGTTAAAGTATATAAACCAGGGAAATAAGTTTCTATTTATTACAAAGGGTTTTATTTCAAAATCTTGGTTACTTTACAAGATAACTGTTAAAATAGAAGTGATATTTTTACGGAATAGGTATTATTTTGAATAGTTAGTAATGGTAATGTCTTCTCACAGACATAATAACATAGGATAAAAATGTGAAATTTATGTAGATTAGACATCGAGATGTAAGTCTCGTCCTAATCACACACTAAGACCTTGACAAAGCACTCGGGTGATAGCCAAAGACTTGGTGTAAATTCCTTATATAAATTTCACAAATACACGTGTGGATTTTTATCCTGTTTTGAATAGTGTTACTTTAAATACTGGTCCCACTAAAACACTTACCATAGTTGTTGTTACTTTACAAATCTTCTCACAACTTGATATGAAAATTTAAGATATTTTAACATTGAAAGGTTCTTACCAGTTAACAAATATCATGGACAATGAATATTATGACCCGGGACATGTGCTCAGGGATGAACCTCAATGCAAGTAAAATACTCTCAAGTAATGGACAAATAAAAAAATTATTGCCAGCCGACCACTGGGACATATAAACACTATGTCCTACACGAAACTATCGTAGAAATAGCACTGCAAATATGACAGTCTCTGCACTTAGCTATAGTAATGTTGAAAACCTCCGAGCATCCCACTGACGTCGATAACCTTCTCGCGTCACACCCGTTACCAAATTGAACAAATCGCCTGCGCACATTTTCTTCTAACTGCCAGCATTCCAATAATAATTCCTTTTCAGATCATATCCCCAGCTTATTTCTTCCTTTGTCTTATTGAGATCCAAACTGGTGTCCTACATTTATCACTGACTTTTACAACATGTTCACGAGTTACAGAATGTACTTTGGAAAATCTTTGCATTCAGGGGTTCTTATTTATATTATTTTAAAGATGAACATTTGTACACTGTAACTATGCACTGAGCACTTGCAGAACTTGCCCACCGTTTCCATCATTGTAACATGGGGGAGGGGGGGGTGAAAAAGGAACAATATGGAAAGAAATGAGAAATGAAGTAAAGAGTGAGGGTTTGGGGTGAATGGAGTAGAGAGGTAGAAGGGAGGTGGGAGGAGTAAAGGAAGTTTGAGAGGTGAAAGAGAAAGTTTGGATAAAGGCAGAGGGAGAGGAGAGTGTGTAGGAGGTAGAAGGGTAGATAAGTTGAAATGGAAATGGATTTTTTTTAACATCGTAATAAGCAGGTTTTCTTTAAGAGTCAATTTATTGTGCATGTAATGCCCCATTATATTTGTATTGAAATATAGATGTTATAAATAAAATGTACAAAACATCTTTGGTTTGTAGTTTTTACTTTACTGTCCCCCATTTTATATCACAAATGGTGGTTTGGTTGTAAAGATGTCACCCTCGATCTACCATCTCCCTACTTAGAAAATTTTCTTCTTTAACTCGGGTAGAATGTTTTGTGGATTCACACTTCCACAAATGTGTAACTGGAACTGCTATGTATTCAAGCTTATCAAGATGAAAATTTGAGAGAAAGTATTTGACTTTGTAAGGGGGCCCTGACGTGTAGACTAGAGTCGGCAAGAGAGTGAGAAAGGAATAAAGTTGAGTGGAAAACTACTACTGTATATAACTTTCTTAATTATTATATAATTTTCATATTGCAGCATTCTTCACTGTTCATGCACAAAAAACATTGATCCCCCACCTTCATTCCCATGTACACCTGCACCCCTATCATCACACCCCTCAACCCTTCCCCCCATGTACACTACACCTTCACATTACCTTCATGTTATCTTCACCCCACCTTTATCCTTCCTTCATTCCCCTTTCATCCCACCTTCTCCCCTACCTTCATTCTCCCCTTCATCCCACCTACATCCTTCCACCACTCCCACCAACAACCCCACATTCACTCCCACTTTATTTGACAACAAAAAGTACTGTGGCATCTGAAATTACAGTAGTTTGTCAACCATTTTTTTTTTTCAACTGTACTAACTGAATTGGCTTGTCGGACAATTGAAAGGGTCTTGTCTAACAGATGAAAAGGGTTGGTTTGACAAGTGAAAGTAGTATGACTAAGAATAGTTTGATATTTAATAGATGTTTGACAGACGAGTGATTTGTTTGACAACCAATATGCCTCTGGGATTATTAGATTTGAACATTTGGCATTGAATAATGTACATAAACTTAACATTTTTATTAAACCATAAAATAATTTCAAAACATGTACTGTACAGTATTTCTTGACAGGAGATTTAAAAGGAGATGCAATTTATAGTTAGTTTACAGTGAGGTACAGAGAAAGAGGGGCTTGATATGTAGAGTTTTATTAAATGGAGGAGTCCTGCTAGGACAGGCAGCACTGGAACAACAGTGGACATCTTCAAGAGAAAACTAGATTGTTTTCATCAAGGAGTGCCAGACCAACTGGGCTGTGATCGGTATGTGAGCCTGCGGGCCACTCCAAGCAACAGCCTGGTGGACCAAACTCTCACAAGTGAAGCCTGGCCTTGGGCCAGGCTTGGGGAGTAGAACTACTCCCAGAACCCCATCAAGCAGGTATCAAGCAGGTACCAATAGAAGCCATCATCAGGCCGTTGTGAATACTTCAGTGGAACATACAAGGTCTTGGAAATAAAAACTAGACTTTCCAGGAAATTGTAAATAGTAGAAACAAAAAATTTGTAATAATGTGGTGGTGTTTCTGTAGGGTACACTCCACGTAAGGCAATGGATATATAATTTCCTGTCAAACGGAATGCAAAGAGTAACAATCAAATAGGGGGGGGGGGGAGTTCAATCGGTGAAAAGCTCTGTACCCCAGAGCACAGTCCTTTCACCACTGCTTTTTATCATTCTCATTTCAGATACAGACAAAAATACAAGTCACAGCTTTGTAACGTTGTGGACGATACAAAAATCGGCATGAAATGACTTCTGTAGAAAACATTGAAAACTAAAGACTTTATTAATTAAAGTCTGGGCAATGGAAAATTACATATTTAAGTGATAAATTCCAGATTTTAGGTTTGGTAAAAAATTAAGCATTTTAAATGAAATGCAGGGGACAAGACACAATCGGATCTCATAGAAAGAAAACATACATGCTTTCTGGGAATAACAATGTCAAGACAGCCTAATGTTTAATGAGCACAACAAAGCTCAATAAAGTTATGGTGATGGGATGAATTATGAGAACCTACAGATCATGGAATGCCACTAATATGTTGCTATCACTTGTGCATAGCTGCTGTGAGTATACTGTACTTGGTACTCTCTCTCCCTTTCAGAAGAGAGATTTGTGAAAAAGAGGAAATACAGTGAACTTGATGGCACACATGCTTGCATAAAGCACCTAAACTATTGTGATCGTCTTGAGGCTCTCAAAATGTACTCCTGAAAGGACACACGAGAGGTATCACATAATATATACATGGGAGATACTGGAAGGCCAAGTTCCAAATTTACACAGTAAAATAACAACATACTGGAGCGAAAGATATAGTAGAAAATGCAGAATAGACCCGATGAAGTATAGAGGTGTCATAGGTACAATTGGTGAACACTATGAACATCAGTGGTCCACACACATTCAATTTTCTTCCAGCAAACATAAGAAATCTTGCAGGCACAAAAGTGAAGGTGTTAAAGAGAAAATTTAGATATGGTCTTGCAATAATTTCCAGACCAAGCAGATTTAGTGCATATGTGGGCCTGCAAGGTGCTCCAGGCAACAGCCTGTTGGTCCATGTTATGCCAAGTTGGACTTGGAGTAGAAGAGTACCCAGAACCCTCTCAAAGTATACTCAAAGTACATTCCTGTAGTATGCGCTTTATGTTGTTGGGTAAAATTGTGGCCAATAGCTTCATGCAGTAAGGGCAATATGTAGGCAAAAGCCTGACTATGAATAGTTCCAAGAGTATTGTCAAACATTCTCTCTGAACCAGTAAAAGCATTATGTAAAGGGAGAGTGCTTTTTTGCTCAAATTTGTGCTTAATTTCAAGAGAATGATAAACTGTGAGGAGTATATACAAATACTGTATGTAGAAAAAATATGAACGTCAGTGTGTAAATATATTTGTTATACTCGTGCTGAAGTTTTTCAGAGATTGTTATGGTTACACAACCCTGTTAATTACTCCAAATACTGTGCTTAAACATGCAAACCTGGTTCTTGATTACTTGTGGGCTGAAGAGATTTGATTTTTGACAATTGTCAATATATATTATTAAGCTATGTATGTGCATGAGTGTATGTATTATTAGCTATTTGTAATAGCTAATAACACCCACTTACTAACTTCACTCTCGATGCACACAATACCCAAATGCATTTAGCAATAGACTATAGAAAATATTTTTGTTTATATCCATTTTATCATTAAAATGAATATGGTATATATAATATGTAGCAATAAGTGAGCTTAAATTATAGTACTGTAATGGGTTCTATCCTGAAATACAGTACAAAGAGGAATATTTGAGAATTACTTTTTAAATGATTAATTATAGAGAAAAGTTGTAGTACAGTATCAGTATTTGAGGCGTTTTATATGACAGGCTAAGACAGGCATTGCCTACAGGTGGGGCCGGATAGTGACTGTCAGTGGATGGGAAGGGGCAGACAACACGGACAAGCTGTCGGTCTCGCCATGATGAGTAAGAAGAAAGACGAATTCAGGAGACTGCATCAGTGCCCCTTCTGTACTTATACAACTGTTTTTCTCAATAATATGAGGAAGCACGTCAGGACGCACACTGGTGAAAAGCCATATGTGTGCGCGCTCTGTTCTTTTCGTTCTAACCAGAACAGCAGTCTGAAGAGGCACATGTTAAACATCCATAATAAAGGTAAATATTTTTTTTACTGTTTGGACATACTTTTAGATCATATTTGTTAATAACATACAGTATAGCTATTATCAAATTGATATAAACTTTACATAACATTGCTAATGCCATGACAATTAATCAAAGAAGCCAGTTTCTATTTAATTTTCTGTTAATATATATTTTTCTATTAATTGGAAAGAATCATAGTAATTATTTCCTTTGTACAAGGAAAAGTATTTTGATTATAATCATTAAACTTTTTTTTTCACAGGTGGGGCTGTTCAAGACCTCTTGAAAGATTTGCAGCTATAAGCAAAGTGCAGCTTACCTATTTTTTATTATATGAAGGACAGGTGTTCAAGGATTCTATTGAGAAAACAGAAAACAAATATACTTGATACTTTTGATCAATGTTTGGTTAAGATTAGACTTTGTGCTGTTCTTTGGTATTAAGATGAATATACTGTGGTGTACTGATTTCATTGTTAGACAGGTTACTAGTATCCATCAGTACAGTAATGTGCTCAAAGATGTAATGCAGTGTGTCATACATGTTGATGTAAGCTTTGTCTTGAGGTACTGTATATAATAAATGAGTAATTGTGTTTGCATGACTGTGTATGCGAGTATTTTAATTGGGGATTATAGTGATACCAAACAATTCATTATTTGATTATGGTTTATGGCTATGCATATTAAATACCAAACATATTACACTCGAGATGTTACGTTTAGTAACAAGAACATTTGACTGGTCATAAGGATCTGTTCAAATCCAAGGCAATTAAGTTAGATTCATCAGATATGCTCAACAGGAGGGTTAAAATATATACTCGTGACACATTGTATGAGAAAGTATTTACTTGAGCTTGGCTTATAACATGTTGAAGAGGAGGTTGGCATCTGTCATGTATGTTGCAGAGTTAGTACCAGTTGGGTGTAATGTCTGAACTTTAACAGTAAATGTTTCGGGGAGATTTAAACGTCATTCTCAGGATTGATATATGTTTGACAAATTGAAGTTGGTTTTCAAAGGTGCTGGTTATGTGTCAGTACTGTATTAAAGTAGGTACTCTTCTTCTTCAAGGGACTGGTTGTTTTATTTCATATTAGACACGTACTAAGAGAAAAGGCTAATGCCAAATGTAAGCAGTACTTCATGGCAAGGCCTGGATATATGAACTGCAGGACCTAGTAATTTTAATTTAATAAAGATTTATATGATTCAGAAAAATATTTTTGTATTGCTGTACTTTATTTATAAAATATTTGTACAAAGGTCTCATTATTGCTCTATTCGATCCGCTGAATTCCTCATTAGTATATTAGCTTTACAAAATTACGAATAATAAATAGATAAAATGACAGTGGAAACCCAATAAGTCTAATGAACAGTGATCAACCAAGATGATGTACATTTTGACAAAGTTGCTTAAACAATAAAACGAATTGGTTACATTTAAAAATATAGTTTTCTTCATAGTGTGAAATGATTAGCGAGGAGAAATGAACAAACAAAAGTTTAGCCACAGGCAATTGTATGGAAATAGTAATGGAAGCCTTCATTGATGTCCTGCATGAAAACCTGTGAGATAAATAAGCCTTAATTATTGTTTTTAGAATGGAACATCAACTGCAAATACAGGTATTATGTATAGTATGCCAGTTCTGTTTATATGTTAATTTATTTGTTAAGTTTTAAAATTAATAGTTTTAGTTTCATAACTACTTAAACATGGATTGAATATTGCTGCCTGAAGGTTAAACTTTTGAATGTTTGAACTCTTTGTGGCTTTGGCTTAATGATTTTGAAATGTTAAAGTCTAGATCACATACAGTAGTTAATGCTTTCTATACACCAACAAAGCTAGTATATTATAGTTTGTTAAAATCTGTTGTTGTCTATTAGTTAAGTCTTAGTTTTTATATTCTAACTTGAATTATCTTGACAGATTCTTTCCAAATTTTGTTGCGTAGACTGGTTGGTCTTAGTCATCCATGGAAATACTGTACCACTGCTGGTCAGGTCAAATGTGTACACCTTTGCTCTCTCTGAGGGACCCTACCGTGTCATTTGTGGGTTTGTTGGATATTTGGGTATCCTACTGTGTCATCTGGGGGGGGGTGTTTCCTGGCTCTATGAGTACCTTACCGTGTCATTTGGGGCTTTACTCTCTTTTTGGGTATCTTAATGCATCATCTGTGTGGGTTTGCCGACTCTTTGGGAATCCTACTGTCATCTGTGGGTTTGGTGAATGTTTGGGTACCTACTGTGCCATCTGGAGGTTTGCTGGTTATTTGGGTACATATTGTGTCATCTAGGGGAGATTTGCTGGTTATTTGGGTAACTACTGTGTCATCTTGGGGTATACTGGATATTTGGGGACCTACTGTGCCATCTGGAGGTTTGGAAAAGTTTCTTCAACTAACATTGTACTTCTTTCTTTGTCTTATTTTCTAAAAGTATTATTTTTTGTCTTTTTTTCCTTTGTTTTGTCACATCGTTACTTACGCATTCCTCATTCTTTTCACCCTTTGGATTTATAATGTATACAAAGGATAACTATTGTCATCCACACTTCTGTGGAAGTAAACATTTGATAGAGATTCGGCTTCTCACACGTGGGGTCCACGACTCGAGACCCATACAGCCCAGGTGAATGGAAAAGATAACTACATTTGATGTCTTGTATAAATCAATAAGTCTTTTGTCAAGAATATATTTACTTTTTTTATTATTATTTATTTTTATTTATTTTAGCCACTATTAATATACAGTAACTTTTTGTTTTTAAGCATTAACTAAAGAACACACATGTGCATACAGTATATTGATACATATAATTGCACAAAAAAGGTTAAGTTTTAATATAGGTTAATTTTTAATATAGAAATGAAAGTATTGAATATTTTTCTTTGTCACCAAAAATCTAGAATTTGTCCTCGCTAATCCTCATGGGTGTCGGTTATAGTAATACTGAACCAATTCACTGTACAGTATACCAGATTTGTATTATTGTGTTTATGCAACTTTAATAAAATAATAATAATAATAACAGTACTATTATTATTATTACTATTACAGTATCTTTATAAATGCTTCAAAAGCTCATTAAAACAGGTAAAAGAGGTGAATGTACCAAAAAGAGCTGGGAGGGTTTTGCGTGATGCCACTTTTTAAGAATGGGTAATTCCTATAGGAAAGAATCACAAAATACTGTACTGAAAGTACAGTATTTTGTACTTACAGTACAGTAATACCAGTACAGTATTGTGCCATATTACAGTTGGATTTAGAATTTGGGTCATTTAGCTAAAAGTCAAAGTCACATCTATAAATAGGAAATTGGCATGTGCTAATTAATTTTAAAATACTACAGTATTTTAAAGTAACTTATCAGCTCATGGTTTGCAAAACTGGTTGTTTTGTTAGATGTAATGCAGTACATCAGAGTTCAGATTGTTTTGCATACTCCTTAGAGGAGTGATTTCATTATTATACATCTGAATCTTGAACAATTACATGTAAATGTTTAAAAGTAAACACTGAAATTGAGACTCCCATTATTCATTTTGTTTCTAGCTCAAATATAACTAAGATATTTCGAAATATATAAAAAAGGTAAAATATTTGATTTGATGGTGTGCACTTGTGGAGTAAGATAATGATTTAAATAAAAAATTTTTTATTGTAACATACCTCCATCCCTCTTACACCTTCCCTTGCTCATTCAAAGTGGATTAATAACAAATGCATCAAATCTAAGTGTGGTGTCCTTCCCATTAGTTTCTTCTTGTATATTATAAATTTAATAAGACTGTAGTCTTTATTCTTTTTACTTTTTAATACTTTTTAGTTTACTTTATTCATTCATGCATGCATTCATTATCATTGCCCTATTTTCAATGTTCATGGGATGTGGAGGCATCAACCCTGAGAAGAGAAAGTAAATAATATAGTGAAAGAATTTTGTGCATATTAAAAATAATATAATTTAATTCATTGCATCATAATACACTTTATGGCATCACAAACAAGCATTACCACACTAGCAGTCATCCATAGCAACACTCTGTAACTTCATCAAACCAGGTCATTTTTTTGTTGTCCTTTGTGGCTGCAAAATAGTTGTTTACTTCTGTCCTAGTCTCCATAGCAGGGTTCGGTCATTCCACGTCCAGTTGCAGTACCTGTAGTTGCCTTTCATGTTGTCCTATGGGACCTGCACCATAGATAACCTGGCATAGGTTAACCATTTTTATGCAGTGCAGGTTGTCTTACCCATGAAGTTCTGGATGGTTTTTGTCCATTTCCAAGGTTTTCCTGGTTCTTTATTCCTACAAGTTGTGATCTTGGGCTTCCTTGTGACTTTGTATACGCTGGCTAGCCATTTTGATTCTCTCCACGAGTCCACTTGGTCATTTTTCTCTTTGTTTGTTTTCCCGTTTTCTCTCCTCTCCTCGGAGGTTGCAGTTTTGGGTGTTTGTGGGTGTGTATATTCAGCTGCTTTGCAATATGTTCCAGCTATGATTGGCAGCTTTTATTCCATTTTTGGGGTATTTGGTGCCCATGTTTCTCGGGCTCCTGGTTTGATTTCTAGGACATGGGAGCCCAGGTGTATGTGTGTGTACTCTGCATTACTTGCCATGGGGACATTTTCAGTGATCGGTGTGGTTTGTTCTGACAGCCTTTCATAGTATGCCATCATGGTGCCAGCTATGGACCTTCCAGGTTACCTTGTCCCTAGTTCTGCATGCAGTTTTGAGCATCCTTTTGCTCATTTCCCTGATCTCCTGAATACCAATTGGCAGTTCTGCTATTCAGGTTTTCCCTGGACCCAAAGTCTTTCCCAGATTGACTTGTGTGTGGTCCTCAAGCATACTGTATATGTCTTCAGGGAATCTACATTCTTATCTCTCTACCTCAACGACTAGTTACTTTGGGTCCTCCAGTCCTCCAATTTGTCTGATAGCCAGGGTTTGGCTCTTTTCCAGTTGGCTACTCTTGATTTGTTATTAAGTGGAGTACATTTCAGTGCCTTTCCAGGCCTTAGCTGACCTGGGCATAGTCTAGGATACCATTCCAGCCTCCTGTTTTGCTTCCTCAGTTGGCCCTATTATAGCTGTGCCTCTGAACTCAAACTGATGTCTGGGTGGTCTCGAGCTTTCCTGTCAGGATCTCCTGCACCTTTTGGGCAACATTTCTTTCACCCTCATGATGATCCTGCTGGACTGAGGCTGGCTGAAGGCACTGTCCACTTTGGTCACTGTCGGAGCAGTGTTGTGCATGTTTTCTTAGTTGAGTTAGCTCTCAGTTGGGGCTTTGTCTGTAGCTCTCCCAGCAAGGGTCAGCATCAATGGCCTCCTTGGCTTTGTCTACTCTTTAACCCCTGCAGTGTGCACCGGTTTTTGGCGAAAACTTCATGCAATTGTTACGGACATATTTTTGTTGTTTTTATAAATGTTCAGGTAAATTTAATGTTAACATGTTTCCAAACTCAACCATTTTAATTTTAAAACACAGTGACGAAAACATTAAGAAACATTAAAATATAGCCTAATTAAAAAAATAGGACAACTCTCGGAACAAGATTTCTTGACTGGCACAGCACAGTAATTAAGGTGTGGATTTTGTGATGATCTTGAGGGCACTTCAATGAGTCTGTCTCCTGTAGGGCTTATCCCTAAACCACCCCTATCCCCCTGAGAAATAGGGGTGGTTACATTTGTTTCCTTTCCCTATGAGCTGGTCTCTGGGTGGCCTTGCTTCTGGCTTCTTGGGTTTTGGGCATCAGTGATGCTCCCTTTTAGGGCATGCTGACCATTCTTATGGTTTCTCTCTCATTTCCATATGTTTTGGCAGAGGGCAGTGGTTGGATCCTCTTCCTCCTGGATTAGTGGACTGTTCAGCTGTCCAATTGAGAGTGGTTTGCCTCTGTATGGTCCGATGGGTTTCCAATCAATGGGAGACCATTTCCAGATTATAGAGTGGTGCAGAAATTGCATTTCACTTGACTTGGGGAAAATGGCCTTATCTTTCCTAGTCAAGCTGCTGCTTTCCAGTCTTTTGTAGGCTACTTTTATGGGCAGGTTCCACCGTATGTTTCCCGGCCCATCTCACCCAGCCTCTTGTGATTCATGGCGCTCTACCTGTCCGTGTGTGTATGTGGGTTTTCTTCGCTTTGTGTCCCATCTCCTATGTAGGAGTTGGGTGTTGGATTCTTGGTGCTATGTTGACTTTTTGGCTGTCTAGGGCATTCTTTGGTCTTTGAGTGTGTCCATTATGAGATCTATTCTGTGGCTGTGGTATTGTATTTAGCATGCTGTTGGAGTTGGGGCTCTTGTTTTTCACATCCCGTACTCAAATGTCTGTCTTTCCCAGATCCTCTGCATTGTGGTTTGGTCCAGCCAGCCAGCTGCTTGTTCCTTGTCTAAGGATATAATTCAAAATTTAATACATTGTGTCATAGGGACAGGGCGCCAGTTTATACATACAGTACATGTACTTAAATCAAGGTCCTTCCCCTCCCAGGGTTGGATTACTGACCCTCCCAAGAGTGCAACCCCACAACAAGCTGACTAACTCATGGTACCTATTTACTGCTAGGTGGACATTAGGTGATAGGAAATACACTGATCCATTTGTCCCATCCAGGATTCGAACCTGAAATTCTCGATTGTGAGTCGAGAACGAACCCGACTGTACTGTACTACCAGGACCCTTGAATGCAGATGTTTCCTACTTTACTAGCTTTCTTGCCATTTTGTCTTCAGCTGCTATTTGGACTCTGCTTCTGGTGGTCCTTTTGCTGCTCTTTAGTTTTACTATGCCTCAACCTGTCCTCCTACAAAGAACATCGCTTTTTGCTCGTATGCTTTAAATAAGGCCAAAAATTGATGTACTAGAAAATGGAAATGGCTCGCGAAAGTGATGTACTGTCCCGTTTTCTGCTATGGGTCCTCTGGTAGATTAGGAGAGGACACTTTAAATTGATCGTTTTCTTGACATTGGGAAACCTTAGGAAGATGAGCTGCTATGCCTGGGTGTTTATTGTGCAGCTGCCATTCTTTGTCCCTGGCACTCGCCTTCTGCCATTTTTTTTCTACGGATAAGCCCAGTCTGCCATGTTTGGTGTTCAGGAAAGCTGGTCTCCTCTCTCAATGCACTATTATGAGTAAGCTCAGGGAGTTACCGAGAGGTCCTTACCAGAAGTCAAGCTGTTTACGTAATGAAATGCCATAGAATGGTTCGACCCCCTAAGTAGTTTCCTGCTCTGTTCCTTTTTTCCAGTGGGGTTGTTGAGTTTTGTATGGGTAGTTCCCTTATAAGGGGCAGGCTGGCTGTAACCATAGGTTATGGTATTTAATCTGTCAAAATGATCCAAAATTTGGGGTTTACCATAGAAGTTTTTCCTATGGTATCCTAATTTTCTTCAAGCAGTTGTTTTTGTTGCACTTACGTGGTTTGGTGAATTTTTCCTAGTTGGTTGATTTTTTATTTGCTCCCGTTGCCTGTACAGCTAGATCCTGTTTCTGGCTCCTGTTGCCTGTGCAGCTAGATCCTGTTTCTGGCTCCTGTTGCCTGTGCAGCTAGATTGTTTCTGATTCCTGTTGCCTGTGTAGCTAGATTCTGTTTCTGGCTCCTGTTGCATGTGCAGCTAGATTGTTTCTGATTCCTGTTGCCTGTGTAGCTAGATTCTGTTTCTGGCTCCTGTTGCCTATGCAGCTAGATTGTTTGATTCCTGTTGCCTGTGCAGCTAGATTCTGTTTCTGGCTCCTGTTGCCTGTGCAGCTAGATTCTGTTTCTGGCTCCCGGTATGCATTGGACGCGTCTCAGAGGCCTGGTGTGATGGGCTACAGTTTGACGGTAACAGAATCTTCACCAAGCTACTGGAGGGGGGCCAGCAGAATAGGGCATTTCATTACACTTTAATGCTTGACAACAGTACTCTACATAGTATCATTATTGTTTTTTCTTACAAATTTGATTTGGGTCAGGTGCATCCTATTTTTCTTGAATATAGTACTGTATATTTTATGTAGTTGAAAAGTTTTTAGAAAGGCATCCCCATGTAAAATTCGTCTTCTATCGTATCTTAAATAAAGGAAAAGTACTGTATATTGTAAATTGTATATAACAATACAGAACTAAGAACTATTACTATAGAGTTAATAGTTTTTACTATGTGCATCTTAAGTTCAGGTCATTGAAATTTGTATAGTATCATAAATGATCTGTAATCATTCCGTAACTCTTATCATGTAGATTTCTTAAGTGCTCTACTTTGTTACTGTATTTATAGATTAGAAGTTCTTCAGAAATAAAAATATTTGGGAGGGATCATTCTAGCATCATCCAGGTTTGAACAAAGGGATAATTTTGGTGTTATGACACAGAGCCTGGCTTTCATAATGACTGATTGTTGCTGCTGGAGATGACTAGTTTATCACACCCCCATACTCATCCTGTGTCATTATGACTGTTGCTACTGGAGGTGGCTAGTTTATCGCACACCCCCATACTCATCCTGTGTCATTATGACTGATTGTTGCTACTGGAGGTGGCTAGTTTATCGCACACCCCCATACTCATCCTGTGTCATTATGACTGATTGTCGCTGCTGGAGGTGGCTAGTTTATCGCACACCCCCATACTCATCCTGTGTCATTATGACTGATTGTCGCTGCTGGAGGTGGCTAGTTTATCGCACACCCCCATATCATCCTGTGTCATTATGCAGTTGACAAAATCCTATTTCTTCCATTTATTTCATCTGGTGAAAAAATAGATTAGATTTTTAAATACATGAGTATGTATCTTAGAAGCTCCTTCAATGCCAGGCATTCTGATATAATTGCAAATAAGGGTTATTTTATATTTCAGATTTTGAATCAGTTGTATTTATCAGTGTAGTTGATGTAAATTGATCATTGCAATTTTTTATGAAATTACAGCATATAAGTAAAGAGTCGTGTGTCCCTTTTCACACTTGACAGTATTTCAGATTGGTAGGCTGTCTTGTGAAGGTATCCAGAGAAACTGTTTTTGTGTAGTCAACATATGAGTGGATTTTTTTTTTAAATGCGCTGTTTATTCAAGTCTTCTCCAAGAATATATTAAACATTTAATTATTTTATAAAAAAAATACTTTAAAGCACTTTCAATATTCTGTAAATTTATTACCATTCAAATTAAATTTTGTTTATTTTTGGAACGTGTAAAAAATGCTTCGTTGAGACTGTACTACTCTGAAGCTCCTGTATCTTTATTTACCATAACTTAAATTGGCCTTAATAATAATTAATTATTATTATTATTATTATAGTAACAGTATTTGAATTGTTTCCGGTTGTGCTCATCATCATTCACAAGACCAGAAACTTTAAACATGAACAAAGAATTGGAAAATCATAACTATATACCTGTATATACTGAATTGTATACTATATTGTAGGTTTTCAACCCTAAAAAAAACAAGACAATGTCATCTAGCAACAAACCTGGGTGTTAGACACACAAGGAATGAGGTAAAACTTAGCTTCACAAAATTGAACTCATTTCACTTGTGTTGAGGGTATTATGAACCAGAAACCATAATGTTGCTATACGAGGAAATGACATTTATAGTAATCTGCAGTGATTCTGGGATTAGTTCTACATAAAAATTCCCAATTGTGTATAGGAGAAAAATACTGATGCAAAAGTTTGACATGTTTTGTCTGATCTCGAGTGATTTGACATCAGTACAGTAAAAAAAAAAGGTTACTTTCAACTGGATGTTTATTTTTTAAAGCATGTATTTTGTTTTTTTCTCACTTTTATTAAATTTCTAATAAGCGTTTACTCTGTTCATATATATATACCATGAAAATAAAATTTTGTTTAGATAGTACAAAGTTCTTTAAAAGATATGGATACAAAAGATAAATACAAGAATTACTTTTGAATCATTATATAAAATTAATAATGGCTTGAGTAACTCAATATCAGGCCATATACAGTATTTAGCAAATTAATAGAATGTCTGCAAATAAGTATACTTATCAAGAAATTTTATTAATTTTATTTACAGAGTGCAACCAAAAGTTAATTATCTCCTTTTTTTTTTTTTTGCACTACATTTTGATGTGTGCTGTTTTCTCTTCAACCTGTGTTTTCTTTCAGTATTATGCTGTATATCAAATAAAAAGGAATACTCTTCTCTGATTTCCATTAATCATTACAGGACTGAAAACGGTGAACAAGTCCTAAACACGAAGAAGAAAACATTAGCATACAAAAAAAACATTGTAAAAATCTTTCCAAATTTGTAAATTTATTATAGTGGGCTTAACCCTCACACTGCAGGGCAATATTATGTGCCTATCTATCCATGTACATAAGCAATAAAATTACATATCCCAAAATTTACTTTTCTTCAGAAATTGTTAAATAGCATCTCGGAACATGTCATAAAATAAATCATTTACATACCATCATTTATTTTTTATTTATTTTTTGTAGCTGGATAGTGTGGTGGCTGGTGGCAGTTGCTCAGGGATGAGTGATGGGGTGGAGTGCTGTGCAGCCATTTCTCTATTTCCATGCATATATACAGCACTGTACATGGTAATCATTGATTTGGTGTTTTTGAAAGTTTTGGAGATTGTGACAGTCTGTGGAAAAAAGTAAATGGTGAACATGATGCAATAATCTAGATTTTGTTTCCTAGAAATCAAAATTTCTTAGGGAAAAGTTATACAATGTTATATAAGAAATAAAAGCTATTAATAAATAGTCATTCCGCTGTACAAAATTTCAGTGTTTTTACGTGAACTGCCACAGTGTTGTCCAGCTTGTATAAAGTTGTAGCGGTTGTCAGATTTCATACAACTGCTGAAAATTCTTCAATGGTACTGTTGTTTTGGACAATTTGCTGTCTGTTAATAGTGAACAAATCCTTTGATTATTTAACATTAAAAACTCTCTTAAGGGTAACAATGTTTGTAGAAAATCATACTTTAGATTTTACTGGAAGAACTCATTAGTTATTTCAGTACTGTACACACACAACAATCCACAAACATAACATTAATCAGAAAAAATATATTTTAAAATGTTTTTTTTTTTTTTTAATTAGCTATATTAATAGTTAATGTGATGAGTGTTGCATCACTGAATAAGATGGGCATCCCTTACAGATGCAACTGAACAGGGAAGAACAAACGGCTGAAGGAGCAGCAGCCACAGGCGATGAGGAGGGCTTCACTTCTGTCAGCGAGTTACATCACTGTCCCTTCTGCCCTTACAACACATCCAAGAGCTTAATGTTAAAGAAACATATTCAGACGCATTGTCTAGATAATGCATATTCTTTATCACAGTTGATGCTGATTGATGACAAGACCCGATATCGAGCTGCTTGTGCTGCTGCACCAAGTAGGGGAAAACAGTATTCATGTTCAATCTGCCCATTCACTGCTTCGGAAAAATGTGGTCTGAAAGTTCATATGCGAACTCACACTGGCGAGAGACCATTTGCATGTCCTCACTGTCCATCTAAATTTACCCAAAACGTTCATCTTAAGGATCATCTTCATATACATACCGGAGAAAAACCATATACTTGTCCACATTGTCCATTTCGCTGTGCTAATAATAGTAGTATTCGGAGACACATTAAAACTCATACTGGAGAAAGGCCATATAAATGTGAGTTTTGCTCGTTATGTTTTATTCGGTTGTGTCAACTAAAGCAGCACACACTAACACATGCAAAGTCATAATTATATTCTTGATTATACAGTATATATGTGATTCATACAGATTTATCTTAGAAATTTACTTTATTTTGAAAAAGTGTGCAGTAATAGGAAAAATTAATTCTAATATAATGTATCAAAGCAGCATAAGCAAAACACATTTATTAGTCTTACACCATTCCCATTAAAAGGGAATGAGAAAGGCACTTAATCCCCAAAGCAATAAATGTATGTAAAGTTTACATACTCTAAATAAAAGTTAAGATGGCAATTGTTTGTAGGGATTAAAATGGTCTTCCATTAAGCATTTTCTTGAGTTATCAGAATATACAGTACTCTACTGTATTTGTAATGTCTCATTAGAATTATATGAGCATAAGACTCGCATAAAATGAGTGAAAATGTGAAGGGTGGCATATCAAACTGTGTTGATACTAAAATACAACATAAAACTTTTTGTTATTGATGTTAGTTATGCTGGTAATCTTACTAAATTTGTGTTGAAAAGGTTGATTTGAACATGAAATAGTTGTGACACTTGTGAATGTTGAGTCAGCAGGAAGAGTATCATTTGGCCTAGCTCGGGTGTCAGACTCATTTACTGTCACGGCCCAGATTTCATGTGATACTACATGATGTGGGCCATGCCAAGGAAAACCTTCCCCCTTCACGAGTGAACCAGTTGTATCAGAAAGAAAACGACAATTTTTACCTTATTGCTTGGCATTACTACTTCCTAAGACTTGATATCTCTAGGTTTATCACATTGCATCAAAGTTTGGAGTAAATGACTGAGCTACAGCAACCTTGAGTACTGAATTTAGGTGTGCATATGCAAATTGAAAACAATGCCAAGATTTGTTAATGTAGGAACAGGCACCAACTGTTTATTTCATTATGTTCTTCCAAACATGGACATAATCTTTGAAGCAAAACACTTTGATCTTAGGATACTGTAATTTGGTCCTAGAGACTCACAAACTGTGCCAACAGCTGCATTTAAACTTTTCCCCACAACACAAATGCAGTGTAACAATTATTTCTAGCCAAAGAAGTCCTGGTACAGTACTTAACTAATAAAGAATAGGTTATAACAAAATTAAGAAATATACAGTATCTGAGTATTTAAAGTCGGTACAATATTTGAGGCTCTTTTTTAAATTTATAAATCATGCTTCAATAGTTTTCCGAGTGGAAATATCATAAAATTCAGGTATGTCCTGTGGGAATTTCAAGGTTAAAATGTACGAAAGACTACTGTCTTAAGAGTTGCTTCTCAAAAGGCTTGAAGCAGTGTGCACATTGTGGGCTGCTTATAGTGTGGTGGTGGGCCTCGTGTCTGACACCCCTGGTTGAGCTGGTAACTGATTGAAGGGTAACAAAGGTGACAGGGATATTACCTTCGTGTTAGGAAATACAAAAATATTCTTGCCAACAGAGTAGTTGACAAGAGAACATAGTGTATACTGTACCTTCACCATTAGATGGGTTAAGATTTTACAGGAATACTTTTTTCCTGTAACTACAGTTCAATAATTTGAAATACAGGTACAATATACAGTATTACTACAGACAGGTAGATAGTGACGGACAGAGATTGATAAAAACAGTGGCACAGAGTATGACAGCGAAGGAGGGAGGTGTGGAGAGGCCACAAATTAAAGGTGTGACAGATCAGAGTGATGGGGATGGGGGTTAAGCCAACCAGGATATCTTAACATTCAGTACAATATAGCAATTTGTCGTTGCAAATTAAAGTTATTCGGTTTAAACAGGCAGTGGTAGACTGCAGGTCAGTGACTGGAGTTGGTAAAGGTATACAGTATTGTATTTTGTTAATTAAGGGGCCAATATTTCAGTATAAAAAAAACTCGCATTATAGTAGATTAATCCAGCATAGTTTGGCAGTGTTTTCTGACAAGTATGGGCAGGGATAGTTTAAGGTAAACCTTTACATATACAATGGTTAATTTTGGATTTGGAGATTTTTCTTTCCTTTATACATATATATTACAGCATTGTTGTTTAAGGTATATTGTATCACTTCTGGTGATATTCTTTAATAGTTTTTACTTTTAAAGCTTATCTCCAGAACTGGTGTATTCTGCCATAAAAAATTAAGAGTTAATAATTGTATGCCTGTCTTGAATTCAAAGATATACTACTGCTATATTTAGCTGAAATTTACAAACAAAAATAAATTTAAATTAATGAATTTAGCTTTTTCATTTTTGCTTTCCTGGGTAAGCACCTTTTATGATTGTAAGTACAGTATTTTGCTCATGGATATGTAGTACATACTGTACTTATGATTGTTATTTATCAAAGAATCATGGCTGATGGTATCAAATTTGGAAAAGTAAAGTGCCATTCCGTTTTCAAGTGAGCTGTTGAGTGAAACAAATTATTAAACTTGACTCTAATTCAAAACTGAAAAATTCTTTAATGAAGCACTTGAAACTTAATAATGTAAAGCCTTAAATAAGTAAATGTGTGTATAATTAATACTGTATGCACATTTGATGAACAAGTGGCTACTGGGCTACAAGGAGTGGCAGGAATTAGGAATTACTGTTAAATGTGGAGAGGATTGTGACGTCAGGCATTACAGAATAAGATGAGTACTACAATATTTCTAGGAGCCCGCCCACCCTTGTTGTCTCCCGGAAGCTATCTTACTGAGATGACTTTCAACTTCTGGGTCACATCAGTTGCAGGAGTCATTTAGGCTTACTGTAGATCAGAGCCAGAACCTGGCTCCCCCCACAGAGGTACAGAGAGATGGGGACTATTATTGCCCCTATCTCTGATAGTGTTACCTCCATTTTTTAATTTAATCAACCGTCTCTGTGGAATCCGGAGACGGTTCAACAACTGAAAATTAAGAAAACAAAACATTTTCCCATAAGAAATACAGGCTGTAATGTAAATTGAATTAATCCATTCCACACACAAAAATATTAACTTAATACATTTTATACATAGTACTACTCATATTTTGTATAGTACAGTATGTACAAGTATATCTTACCTTCACTGAGAACTCTTGTTGGCATATGGAAAATGGTGATTAGGTTTGGGGAAAAGGTGTTAGTGTTTGGAAGGGGAGTCCCCTTTCAATATAACATCAGGCAGTGATGACATTTCTGGGGTACTCTTTCTCACATTTGGCAATGCCACTAGGACCTGGTTGTGTGGCCATTACCCACGGAGTGATACAGTATATAATACTGTAATTACTTTTATGTTCAGAAACTAAAAAAATCACAAAAAAAATCACAAAGAATTAAAGTGCAGCCGTCACTAGGCAAGACATACAGTACGGGTAAACTGAGGGGCACTTCGCCCGTGCCATCAGAACCACGCGCTTAGCTGACCCATACGTGTGTAAACCAACTATGAGAAGTGAGGCAAACCTCGAATACCGAGTCAAATTTTTAGAAGAAATTGAGCTCGAAAACTGAAAAGTTAAAAAAA